TGGTGTGTGTGTGTGTGTGTGTGTGTGTGGGGGGGGTTCCTGCCCATTTTTGATATTTTTAAATTTATTTATTCTTTATCTAAGTGCATGAAAAACAAATAAAAATAATATTTTGGAAAAAAGCATTACATGTAAAGGATAAAATGGAGCGTATAGCAGATTAAAATGGAAATAAATAAGTGAAGTCTGAGCCAGATCTTTTTTTATACTGTATATCTTCTTTTCTCTTTTTTTAAAGCAAATCCCAGCGGACCATGGACAGTTTTGTGAGAAGGATACCATTCTGTTCTACAGAGCAAGCAGCTGAATTTACAGACAGTATCCCGAAAATGTTCATTGGAGAGATGCATCCCATCATCATGGTTGAGTTGAGGACAAAGGTTTTAGGCAGATGGTTTCCACCTTCAACCCACGGTATGTTCTTCCTTCAACAARGCACTTCATAAAACTTATGGAGAAAAAGCATGCAGAGATTAAAGCCAAGCTAAAAGARACTCTTAAAGAAATAGACTGTCGCACTCACTAGAGACGTTTGGACCAGTGTGGCAGTTAAGGTATGTATGGGAGTGACCTCTCACTGCATTGGAAAAACTGGGAAATGAGATTCTTTTGTTTAACCACTCTGCCCTCTGCCCTGCCACTCTCAGGATCTACACTAATTTAAAACATTGAAAATTAAGGATTTAAGCTCTTTTTTCCCACAGAGTCTGTGGAAATATTAACCAGAAGGAAGACGCAAAGTTGAGATGTCCTCCTAGGATTTTTATTAAATTAAATTTAAAAAATAAAAACCTACTTTGCCCTGGGCATTAAATTTGAGTTTTTATGTTTTTGCCATGCCATGTTTTACTGTGCATTTAAAATGTGCAATAAATGTTTTTTGAAGTTCAAAACGCTTGTTTATTGAGGGTATGTATTACTAAATTGCCCGCCTGTTCGATTAATCGAAAAAAATAATCGGTAGATTAATCGATAACTAAAATAATCGATAGCTGCAGCCTGAGTAGGAATCCACATTTTCCTCACAGAAAATGCAGAAGTGGATCATGGTTCCTACCTGTCTACAGGGGTGGAAGTGTTCTCAATGAAGCTGATCATCTTCTCCTTTACGTTGACTGACTTGGATTTCAGAGCAAAAGTCATTTTGTTGACTAAAGATTTGACACCTTTACCGTCTCCAGGGCTGCTTAAATCTCCCTGTGTTGTTAGAAAAGCAAGCGTAAGAATAAAATCTGCAGCTGAACATACAACACAAAAAGACATTTCACAGATCTCCAACAAAGAGCTGCAGTGGTGATGAATTTGGTTTCCTTCTTTTTTAAACCTACATCAGCAGAGCTCAGGCTGCTGTGGGATCCAGAAGTGCTGACGATCCAGTTGACATACGAAGAGTCGAGGCCCTCGACATTCATGTCCACCAGGTGCTTCTGGAGAGCTGAAACAACACAGATTACTGTAAAACTTAATTCCTAACAAAAGGAGCGCTTCAGGTTTGATCAAGAACCAGACACAGTTGAAGTAAAAATAAAAAAATCCACCCTTTTTCAGTTCTAAGCTATGCTAACGTTTCACATTTCACTACTCTTTATGTCTTATTTAACATTAATTTAGAGAGCTTTACTGCATCGCCTGTCTGTGCTTTTTGTAGTTTTATACTCTCCCTCTGTTGCACGTGTGTTCATTTAAAACATTAATAACAGCAGAGCGTTTGGTCCTGTCATTCGTCAGTAGACGAGTGGGCCAGGCCACTGGGAAATACAGCTCTGGAAAACTTGAGAGCAGTGCTGCATTGTTTTCCTGTATTTGACTGAAAGCATTCCAACAAATATTGATTTCTGAACTCTTCCTGAGTTCAAACATTAGTATTGTTGTTTCTAAATATGAACTTGTTTTCTATGCATTATTTGAGGTCTGAAAACTCTGCATCTGTGTCTTCACTTTGAACATTTCTCATTTTCTGCAAATATTCAATTTTTGCTTGGAGTCGAGGCAGATGGCCGCCTGTCTTGAGCCTGGTTCTGCTGGAGGTTTCTTCCTGTTAATAGGGAGTTTTTCCTCTCCACCGTTTGCTCAGGATGGGAGACTGTGATGAAGTGATTCAACATCCGTTCTTCCCAATGTTTATTATGTGTGTAATACGAATGGGTGTTCTTAACGGCAAATTCCTAGTCTGTGTTTATCACTGACAATGGCAATAAAATTGATTCTGATTCTGAACACAATCTGCTGGCTTCTTCTTTAGATTGTTCTTTTTTCCATGTACAGTGCCCTGAAACAACGTATGTTGTGACTTGGCACTATATAAATAAACTGACTTGAAATTAATTGGAATTTCAGAGACATGTCAGTAGTTTATAGAATAAAATAACAATGTTCACTTTACTCAAACATATACCTATAAAGAGTAAAAATTATAGAAACTGATAATTTTAAAGCAGTCTATTAATTTTTTCCACAGCTGTATCCCAGATGGCCAGTCCCCCCTGATCAACACTTCCAACACTAACTCACCCTGTGCTGATCTCCATTCCCTGCATGTATGTTCAGCAGTGCAGCAAAGTAAAGGTCCGCTGTGAAATAGTTAATTGGTGGAGTGGCATTCCAAATGTTGTTCAGTTTATTATGACCCCCGCACGCGAAGCGTAAGCGGGTGCCATATGGTGTCGCTCCCAGAGCCAACACCAGGAAGTAGAGTTCTATTTCATCCCTACTGACCACCAGAGGTGGTGCTTAAAGCACTGAATGATCACTCTTGCGCATGCTCAGGTCGAGAATCTTATACCAACATGGTCACATGTGACACCCGGTGACACCGATAAGTCTATATAATCACGTGACAATGCCAGCTCAGTCCCTTTTCATCTTCTCGCATGCAGGTTGAATAGGTGGTAAGACTTTGATTGTTGCTTGTCGCTGGTAGCCTCGAGACTACAGTCGGAGCTGCGAGGATTCTCGCCCTCTAGAGGCTGCGCAAGCTCCTTATTGTTACAATTTTGTTCTTCGATTGGTAAGTTATTTTCTCTTTTAGTTGACGGGAGGGGCAGCGTCAGCTTTCCGCGTCGATTTTTCTGTTGCCAGTGGTAGGGCATTAGCCAACTCCGACCGGTTGTTGATTAGCCGTATCGGCTTGTATTGTGGCAGCCGCGTTCGGATTGCCTTTAACTGATTATTGCAGCCGTTTTCTGGATTGCTTTTTCTTATATTGTGCCGCCATTTACTTGTCTTGCCTTGTTAAGCATAGCCGTTTCGGCTTGTTTTTTGTTAACGTTGTGCAGCCGTGTTCGGCTCGCCTATATTTAGTTTAATTGCAGCCGTTTTCGAGCTTGCTTATTGTTTTACGTTGTGCAGATGTGTTCGGCTCGCCTATATTTTGTTTAATTGCAGCCGTTTTCGGGCTTGCTTATTGTTTTACGTTGTGCAGCCGTGTTCGGCTTGCCTCATACGATATTGCAACCGTGCTACGGTGAACCCCTGGTGGCGTTTTCTGCTCGACCGGGTCCCTAGTCCATTAGGCTAAGTGTCAAGAGTGGCAATTTCAGCTTGACCTGACCTTGTCTTGTGAGCGTAAGATGCTGGACGTGCCGGGCTGCAGAGTCTGTTTGGCCCCTCTCCAATTGGAGGATGGGCATGATCTGTGTCCTTCTTGTTTGGGCCTAGATCACCTACAGGAGGCCTTGACTGATGCGGCCTGCCCTAATTGTTCTGTTCTGCCCTTGTCCCTGCGTACCGCTCGTTTGGCTGACCTTCAAGGTGCCAGCCGGCCTGTGAAACGTATGGCTCCTGAGGCTATGCAGCCTCCACGTAAGAGGACAAAGAAGAGCTCCAGGGATTCAGAAGGCCTAACTGGGCAGGTGGCCCATCTTACTTCCGAGTTGGAGCAGATGAAAGCACTGCTCGAGTCCCTTAGAGGCGGCGGTGGCTCTGGTCTGACTGGAGACCCGGACCCAGGGCGGAGCATGGGTTCAGGGCTCTCCATTTTAGACGATGATGCTGTATCCCTGGCAGCGTCTGGTACAGATTTTCAAGATCCGTTTGAATCTGGCTCGCATATGTCAACAGCCAGTTCGCGTCTCTCTTCCTGCTCTCAGTCGGAAGAGGATGATTCGATAGTGGGCGCTTTGAGAACTGCGCTTGCTCGGCTGCAGCTGGATGCTCCACAGAGCCAGCCTGATGCTTCCAGTGCTTTCTTTCGGCGTCCTACTACTAGGTCGTCCTTTATGGTTCCCCCATCTGCCGACTATATGAAGGAGGTTCATGCCTGTTGGGCAGATACTAAGGCCTTTTCACGACCGACCTCTGATGGCAGGGCTCTGGCAGCCATGCAGGATGCGCCCAATTTGGCTTGGGTCATATGCCTTCTGTCGAACCTGCCATAGCATCCCTCATTGTGGCTCCAGATGAGGTTCTGAGAGCTAATGCGAGGTGTCCTCGTCCTCAGTGTCGTGTGACTGATGATCTGCTCTGTAGAGCTTATGACTCGGGGGCTCGATTGGGGCGACTCGGTAATCCATTGTCGCATTTATTACTGGTCTCTCAGCCTCTCTGGAGGGCTTGGCGATTGATGCACCTACTCAAGGTTTGATGGACGCATCTCTTCATGCGTTTGCTCTTTTGTCCAGGGAAATCGGCCGTGTCCTGTCTACCCTTGTCCGGGAACAACGCCAGGTCTGGCTGGCACAGTCTCCGCTTACTGAAGCTTGTAGAAGGACCCTGATGAGTCGGTCCCGGGGGAGTTGTTTGGCTCTGCTGCGCTTGCAGCCTTGGAGCGGTTGGCCCAGGCTTCTCGTACCAGGCAGCAGCTGGCCGGCCTTCATCGCAGGTGATTGCAGCGCCCTGCTGGGAGTGCCTCTGCATCTTTTTTACGCACTTATCCAGCCCCGTCTACACCCTCCGTGGGGCAGCCACGGCCTGCTGCAGGGCCTTCTCCTGGCCAGTGGGACGTTTCCAGGGGTCAGGCTCGCATCGCTTCTCAACCCCGGCAGTCCATTCGGCAACCCTCCCGCCCTCTTTAGGGCAGGGGGGTTCGGAAATGATACCGAGCTGGCGGTGGGACAATTTACCCCAGACCAGCTCAGTTGCTGGACCACTCTAGTTCCCGACCCATGGGTGGTGTCTACACTGACTCGGGGTTACACGCTACAGTTCCGCCGCCGCCGCCCTCCTGTTCCTGGTCGAGTCAGGATGACTGTGATTCACGACCAGGCAAAGGCTCAGGCTCTGAGTCACGAAATAGACGCCTTGCTGGCCAAGGGCGCTATATTGCCTGTCGACCCCCTGCTGGATCCAGGGGGCTTTTACTCAAAGTATTTTTAGTCCCAAAAAAGACCAGCGGACTCCGCCCAATTTTGGACCCCAGGGGTCTCAATGTGTTTTTGAAGACTATTCCGTTCCACATGTTGAGCGTCAGGGATGTGCTTCAGACTATCTCCCCAGGCGACTGGTTCACCTTGGTCGACTTGAAGGACGCCTACCTTCATGTTCCGATTGCATCACACCATTGGCAGTTTCTCCGCTTTGCATTTCAGGGAAAGCATTTTCAGTTCAGAGTTCTTCCATTCGGCCTGTCTCTGTCCCCGCGTGTGTTCACGCGGTGCGTGGCTGCAGCCCTGTCTCCTCTGCAGGCCAAGGGGTTGAAGATCCTGCCTTACTTAGACGATTGGCTAATCTGTGCGCCCACAGAAGCTCAGGCGGCGGCGGACACACACACACATTACTCCAACACATAGACTTGTTGGGTCTTCATGTGAACTGGCAGAAAAGCAACTTGGTTCCATCTCAGCAAGTCACCTTTCTTGGGATCACAATGGACTCCCTCACTATGACTGCTCACCCGTCGCCTCAGCGTGTCGAGGACATTCTGACATTCTTTAAATGTTGTCCTCCTTTCTACCCGACCGCGTACCCCCTTTCTTGCCTACCTTCGTCTGTTGGGCAAGCTGACTGCTGCTGCTACAGTGATACCCCTGGGATTGTTGTCTCTGCGACAGCTACAGATGTGGCTCAACAGCCTAAGGCTGCACCCATCTCATGTGCTGCACCGCCGCAGGAGACTGATGGTGTCCAATCAATGCCTTGCGTCACTGGTTCAGTGGTGAGAGGCAGGGTTTATGACCAAAGGGGTACCACTGGGCTCGCTGCTGGCTCGTCGAGAGGTTGTCTCTACCAAAGCATCTACCACAGGATGGGGGGCGTCGTGGCAGCGACAGATCGCCCGGGGGACATGGTCCCCGCAGGAGAAACTGCAGCACATCAACGCCTTGGAGTTGAAGGCTGTGCAGCGGGCGTTGCGACACTTCCTCCCGGGCCTGCGCGGGAAACATGTCCTAGTGCGGTCGGACAATACTTCGGTGGTCTTTCATATCAACCATCGGGGGGGACACGGTCGATAACATTGCTGAGGCTGACCCAGAAGCTCTTGACCTGAGCAGCCCCTCTTTTTGCCAGCCTAAGGGTGGCCTACATTCCAGGGGTGCGGAATGCTCCGGCCGATATTCTGTCTCGGGGAAGCCCACCACCGGGGGAGTGGAGGCTCCACCCGGAGGTAGTGGGGGTCATTTGGGAGAAGTACGGCATAGCAGCTGTGGACCTGTTTGTGTCCCGAGAGACAACACATTGCCCACTTTGGTTTTCCCTGGCAGACACTGCCAGTCCTCTGGGTCAGAATGCACTGGCACACGACTGGCCAAAAGTGCTGCTCTATGCTTTRCCGCCGCTTCCCCTGATAGGCCCAACACTCCTGAGAGTCCTTCAGGAGGGTTGTACCGGTCAACATAAAATTTGGCAGGGCTGTAGATGAGTCTGACCTACACTGTGCCAGACAACAGTTTTACGATAGTCCCCATATTTGAGGAGGGGTCTCCTTTCAAAGAGGGGGTGTCTGGACATGCAAAAATGCTTTTAACTAAGAAACTGTTCAACATAGAAGCTTCAGATTTCTTTTGTTGTTCAGTTCTGATGAAGCTCTATCCATCAGGCCCACCAATCAGTGCCCCCCACTATTGTTGTAGTACTTGAAACCGGTCTTGGTCTTAAGACCAGTCTCAAGACCATTTTTTGATTGTCTTGGTCTCGTCTCAGACTCGACAGCATTTGTACTCTGTCTTGTCTCGGTCTCGGACATTAAGGACTCTGAATTTTATTTCAAGACCAGTCAAGACCACAAACTGTGGAAATATCACTGAACAGCCAGAATGTTGTCCATTTTATTAGTTAACATTCTTACTTTCATTGGATTTAAAAAGTAGCTACTGATTCAAATCCAAACCTGACTTATTGTTATTAATGTATTTTTGTTACCGGCTGTCACCCATCCTGTCACTTGCACGAAGCACTCCCGGAAAGTGAACCGTGGTTCTCTGGGAGCAGTAAAGGATGTCTTCAAAATTTAAGTAAAACATTTGGCTACATCATAAATAATATTGTAAAACAACAACAACCAGGAGAAATCGTAGGGCAAATTGTAAATTTGGCAGTGCTTCACTTTCAGAGACGGTGGGGACAAGGGAGTCCGTTCTCATGCCCCCGGGTCAAGGTATTGACGCTTTGGGCTGGGACTGACCAAGCGTCAGTAAGTTGATGCTGTGGGTACCCCCCACGTCCGTTCTGTAGAAGATGAGGCGGAGGAGGACGAGTGCGTTGTCATAGTTTTTTACAAGACTAGGATTGCGCGAAACTAACCATCCCAGACCCTAAATTTAACTTTTATTAGCCTTATATAGCCTATCCCTGAACACAGACTCTAAAGTTAACTATTAGTCCTGATCCCTCATGTTAACCACAGAACATAAAGTTAACCATTAGTCCTGATCCCTCATGTTAACCACAGACCCTAAAGTTAACCATTAGTCCTGATTCCTCATGATTCCTCAAGTTAACCTCAGATGTGACGCAACCCGGAAAAGCCGCGGGCGGCAAGGACGGACGCGCGGTGGGTATCCCCCGCGTCAAAGTATATGACATGAGAACGTTAGACAACGTCAAACTTTTATCGTCACTAACATTAACAATCTGCCTCTGTAACAAAATTCTTTCCTCTGCCCTCACACAAAGATTTAGTCAATATTAGCTCTACATATTAAGTTAGCCAAAGTGGGGAAAAAAGTGTTTAGTCAGCACCAATTGTTCAAGTTCTCCCGCTTAAAAAGATGAGAGAGGCCTGTGATTGACATCATAGTTAGTCCTCAACCTTGACAGACTAAATACCTTTCCCCCCACTGTACATGTGTACAGAATACTCCATCTTTTAGGACACTTTTTTTTCATCTGGTCTTGGTCTTGTCTCGGTCTCGCCCTCCCTTGGTCTTGGTCTCGACTTGGTCTCGCCCTCCCTTGGTCTTGGTCTTGACTTGGTCCAAACCCTAAAAGTCTTGGTCTTGTCTTGGTCTTGTCTCAGTCTCGAGACACTGTGGTCTTGGTCTTGTCTTGGTCTCGGGTTAGGTGGTCTTGACTACAACAGTACCCCCTGCCCAGACCCCCATTTTATCTGAAAAAGGGGTATGGTTATAGCTCAAAAACTATTAAACATAGGAGCTTCAGATTTCTTTTGTTGTTTAGCTCTGATGAAGCTCTATCCNTTTGTGCATTAAATTGAATGAACATGGTCTGGATAGCCCACAAACATACCATAAAAATTTCTAGGACCCAAAATTGGTCTCCTTTAAATACAAAAGTTGTTGGACTGATTTGGCATCATGTCCTGAGACGTTGCAGCTGATAGGAGTCATAAAACAGAACGGGGACGTTAGATGCCCTGACGCCCCTATATATAAATGTTAAATGAGTGAAGGAAAATGAGTACCAAGCAACAACCCTAGGTCCTCCACTGACAACCAGACCAAAAATTTTATATGCAACTCTGATTATAGCTCAAAAACTATAAAACATAGGAGTTTCAGATTTTCTTTGGTTGTTTAGGTCTAAGGAGGGGCTATCCATCATATTAACCAACCCCCCCCCCCACCCCCGGACCCCCAATTTATCTGAAAGAGGGGTATCTAGACATACAGAAATGGTTATTGCTCAAAAATTATTAAAACATAGGAGCTTCAGATTTTCTTTGGTTGTTTAGGTCTGATGAGGGGCTATCTATCAGGTCAACCAATGCTTTAGGTCATATGAATATTCTGAGGTCCAAAAAGTGGAAAACTTTTCAAACAGAATACATCGGTGACTTGCTTTGGCTAAACTTTCTGAGCAGGTCATTAAATTTTTTAAAGCAGGTGTCTGTGAACCGAAGCAACATTGTAAAAAAGAGCAGATCAAATATTCTTTAAGAGCTGTGTGAGAAACTGATGACGTCACACAGAGAACCAGTTATCACTGCTAAAGGATGTTCAGACTGATGAAATATTGGACAAAATATATCTTAATAATTTTGTCTTTATTTTCATTTAATAAATAATGACACAGTGGAAACTGGTGTGTTTTTGTAATAATTAGTAGAATTTGGTACAGACCAGGGGTCAGATTTATAAAGGATTGCGTGGAAACCATACTAAAAGTGAACGTACAGCCAAAAGGCGGAAATGGTGTACACCAAAAAAAATTCAGATTTATAATACCGTGTGTACGCACGTTTCTGTGCACCTTTCATTTATAAATCACAGCCACACGTCAGAGTTTGCGCACAAGGTCCCGCCTCAGGTTCTACCCTCTACACACCCACADTCAACCATAAACAGTCAATGCAAAGTACCTCATGAATGTTAAGATGTATTTAAATCAGTCAGCTGATCAATGCCAATAAAAGTGATTGGACGGCTCAGCCATGCTCCGTCATGTGCCTGGAGGATGACAGGTGCTGACAACTGCTCACGTGAACAGAATGTCTGTAATTGACACAGAATTTCCCTCATTTTGCTTTAGAGTAATCTAACGATTTTTATAAAAAAAATCTCAGCTTCAAATTAATTTTCTCCCAGAGCCTGCAGGACGATAAAAACAATAAAAATTAAATTAAATAAGTCAGATAAAATTAGAAATTAGTTCACTGCTCTTCTCCTCCTCATCCTCTCCCCCTCCTGCCTGCTCTGTTATTCGCGGCAGACACCCACCCCGCCGTGTACACACACACACACACACACACACACACACACACACACACGACAAATACGGACTTTAAACGTGAAGTTTTATAACATTCACACTGGCGAGGTGGATGCGCCCTGCGCGTTTATCCAAAGCGTGACTTTTGCTGTCCTGCTGTTCTTGTCGGGGAGGGGTCTGTGGGTCGGGGTCGTCTGAGGAGGAAGCAGATGAATGGAGTTGTGCACGGGAACTTTTATTTAAGATTTAAGTTTTTTATTTCAAAGCTCCTTCTGGCTCAGCAGCAGAAGCATAAATATTACCGTTAAGAAAGCTGATGATAAAGTTGAAAAAAAAAAATCTAAGTCTGATTATGAAGTGAAATTAAACAACTGACAGTGATCATTACACAGTGTGGCTCCAATTCTTCACTTCACCGTGTCACAGTTTCACGTCTCCAAAATGAGCGTACCCATGGGTCAAAGCTGGCATGAGGCACCGCACAGTTTCACGTCAAGTTTGGATTTTATAAATAACAACCTTGGCGTGAAAAGTGGCGCACGCAAGTTTCTGGGCTCATATTGTGCATATGCAAGTTTTATAAATCCGACCCCAGATTATTTTCCATAAATCTCTCAAACAGAAACTTGGTTTTTACTTTTTTCCTCACCATTTTTGTGTTCAAATGTACATACCAGTATGTCTTTCAGCCATTACAGTGCAAAATTAAAGCTTCTATGGCACAGGCAGGACATTATTATTGATTTAAAGACATCTACTAGAAGTAAATGTAATGCTAACAAAAGAAATGTATAACACTTACCCATAAACCCTCCTTTAGCAATGCTCACATATTCTTTGTTTTTCTGCAACACAGAATTATTTATTAGCAAATAAGCTGAGTTTAAATTAACAAACAATTAAAACGATTGCAAATATTTTAATTTCTGTTCTACTCTTATTTAAAAAAAAATCAAATAATTGATATGTTCTATTTGATCATGTTAGAGTTTTGATTTTAAAAGCAATACAATGAAACGTTTGCTTGCATCAGCTTTTATTATACAATAATTATCTTTTTCTTGTTTTAGTTGAATAATATGAACATATTTTTTAATAGTGCAGCACTACCTCTGCCCTCTCCCTCACCTGTAAAAAGTGTGCCAGCACCATGTTCATGTACATGTCCTCCTCTTCTCTCCCACTGCCCATGAAGCACAAATGCTCTCCGCTGGCGATGGATCCCGACTCTAAAGACTGCTTCTGAGCCTCCAGGAGGGACTTCACAGAAAGAGCAAACTCAGAGGGGTTCTGGAGCATCTGTGGGACAAACAGCATGGAAACATTCAGACGGTGCACAAAGATTTACAGAAATATTTTCCACGGCCACCATGTCCTACCAGGTCAGAGTCCAGGTGGAAGGCTGTGGACAGATGTCCAGCGTTGTACTGCTCTGCAGGTCGACAATCCACAACGAAAAACCGCACTCCATCCTGAAACATAAGGTCCATCTTCAGCACACTCAAAACAATGTTAGTGACTTCCTGCTTGAACAGATTAAATGTGGGCGTATCGCTGACCTGTTGCAGCTGATTGGCCTGGAGGATTTCAGGGACCGACACAGGGAGGCAGAGAGCCTGACTCAGGTCCATGTCCTCCTCTTTAAGAGCCACCAGGCTGCTACCAAACATATTCTGATTCATCTAACAAAACAAAAAGAGGAAAAAGCTGTTTAGTAAATGTGTCTTCTGATCACAGTCTAAAAAGTAGAGCTGGGTGATTTGTCTGAAAAATGTAACAGGATATAACCGTTTTATATCAGCTGATATCAATAATAGTGTGAAAGCTTCACAGCATTCACACTATTTAGATCATTTTTTCTTCCGTACATTTTTCGGCATCCAACTCGTTCCACAATTTTTGTGCTATTTCAACAATTCATTTATCAAAACATTCAGCTCATTTGTGTCAGGGTTGCTATGACTTTTGGCATCTCAGCTTTTTATACTTTTTTAGCTATTTCACGTTTTTTAGCCACTTTTTTGCCATTGAAATTGAATGGAGCAGTTTTCAGCATCCTTAAAACCCTTTGAAATGTTTCTAAATCTTTACAGCACTTTACACATTTTGTTCTGGTTCTACTCTTTTTCACTTTCTTGTGCCAATTTTACCTACTATTTTGTAAATTTTAGCTTTTTTCTGCTATTTCAGTAAAGATTTTGCCTCTTTCTGGTATTCTTCTGCTTTTGTCAACTTTTTAGTGCTTTTTTCTGCTACTTTGTGCTATTTATGCTTTTTACAGATGCTTTCTGCTACATTCAGCTATTTGCTGAAATTTTAGCTAATGTTTAGCTGCTATTAGTTGAAGTTAGCTTTTCTAAGCTAAATACACATTTTTTGTAGCTATTACAATATTTTCAGCTAAGTTCATTGAACTTGTTCTTCTTATGCTAATTTTAAAAAAATTCCAGCTTCTATCTGGGTACTAATTTCAACTTGTGCCTGCTACCTATTGCTACCTAGCCTATTTTATGCTAATTTTAGCTATTTTATGCTATTTTAGCTATAGATCTGCTTCTTTCTGCTATTCTTCTTTTTCTGCTACCTAGTGTTATTTATGTTTCTTACATATGTTTTCAGCTATATTCAGCTATTTAGCTCTTAGCTGTTTTTGTTTTCAACTAGATTTGTGTTCCTTTTACTGTTTTTCTGCAAAGTTAGGCATTTTTGCTTCTTTCAGCTTTTCAAAGTAAAGTGTTAATACTTTGAATTAACACTTTTCCTATTAAACATTTTCAGCTCAATTTCAGCAGTTTTCAGCTGAAGTTTTCAGCATGAAGCATTCACACTATCATTTTCGCAGGAAATGAAATTTCTCTAGTTATTGATTAGTATTTTGTTTTGCGTGTTTGAAATAAGGAGCAGGAGAAAAAAGGCTGGCTGATTAATTCTGCCAAACTGGTGACCTTTCCTCTTTTATCCACAATTTCCTCTCGAGATGTTGCCTCATTTACTCCTTTCATTCCACATTGTTCTTTTTTATTTTTCAGCAGTTATGAGTCAGAGTGATGAAACATGAAACTGCTACATGTTATTCAGCTGTTGCAGCTGACCAAAGAGTGAGTGGGTTGATGACACTAGTCTTGCTTAGCTGAGCGGCTAAAGCCTTTCCTCTGCCTACATCCCCCAGAATGGAGTTCAGTGAAATTATCAACATTCTACCAGATGTATTTTCTAGATATTGATCATGTGTCTATCCTGATATTTATCATTATTTCATCACCCAGCCCTATTAAAAAGCACAGACTGATCTGTGGACGGAGCTTTTACCTTCCTGAGAGACAGCGGGGTTTTGCTCTGATAATACTGAGCCAGAGAAAACAAATCTTCAATGTCTTCTGCTTCCAGGAGGGAAGGAGATGCTTCCAGCATTTCTGTGTGAAACAAACAAGTTTAAATATGTTTTTAAACAAGATGCTGAGCAAACAAAATCCATAAACAAAACTCACTGATGATGTCCTCTTTGCTGTCTCCTTCCTGTCCCAGGATAGTCTCTCTGAGGACAAATCAACAGACATTCAGAACATAAAAATCATGTATGTTTTAGTGTTGGACAACCTTCACATACTTGGCATTGACGAGGATGATGAGCATGAGGAAGAAGATGAGGAATGGGTCGGCCTGCTGGAGGTAGGAGTCCCATAAGGCCTGGGTGACCTCAGGTCTGCAGTGGCTGGAAAACAGACTGCCCAGCTACAAACAAACACAAAGTTCAGACAACAGCAGAGGAGTCACAGCATCGACACGTTTCTGCCAAAGAACACACCCAGCTGATGGCGTACGAGTCAGGCGTGATCTTTTTGGTGTCCAAGAAGGAGCAAAGCTCCGGCTCATGATACTGCAGCAGCAGTCTGTAAAGGTGGAAAGGTCGGCCCTTCTGCACACACTCCCTGAAATAAACACACATAACAGGTATTAACGCTCAGCGAGTGAGAGCGGAGGAAAAAGGGAACAGGGTTGTGATGATCTACCTTGGGATGTATTTATTCATGACGGCGTAAAAGCAGTTGTAGAGGTCGCTGCGGGGCAACCGCAGCCCCAGCAGGGGTTGGAGCAGATGTGGCCAGCTGAGCTCGGGGGTGAAGGTTATGTTGCGAGACTTGCAGTAGAAAGTGATGACCGACTCCACGTCAGACACCATGTCTTTCATCTCGTCTTCTGAAACTCCCAGATGGTCTAAATACAGAAACAAGGAGGGAGGTGTTAGCAACACTTTTCCTATCAGCCTCATGCAAACATTTATTGAGAAATACTTAATTATTTTACCCCTGAAGAGCTGTTAGCATCTTGTTTTTTATCTTAAGAGATGATGTTCTGTTTTTATTCTCAGCAGTAGTGGACAAAGCTAACCAAAAAAAATTAGGTTCACTCACCATTAATCCACCAAGCAAGAATCTTACATCTGCTAATGCTAAACAGAAAAAAATTAGCTAAAACTAATGTTAAGATGACTGTTACCTCCTTCTAGTTGAAGACTAGTGGGACAAACCTGCTGTGGGTGGGATCATTTGTGGCAAATCGGCCAAGCCAAACCAGAGTTATAGCTCTAACTTATGATCCTTCCAGTTTACTCCTTTCAAAATAAAAGCATTTCTAGATCAAGTTTGACTTTTATACATACCGTTTAAAGTTACTCAAGCTTTGTACATCGACAATTTTTGTAATAGTTAACTAAAAATAGTTCTATCTCATTTTACTTATTTTTGATGCTCTTAGTTTGAAGTTTAGCTGCTAAAGATGCTACATACATGGTGCCTGACACGTACAGTACTGTTTGTTAGAGAGGATAGTTTAATTCAGGATAAATGGCATATAATAAAGTTTTACACTTGTGAACTTTTTTTGTGGACTTAAAATCAGCAGAACCTAACCCAACCCCACCCCACCATCCCCCGTCTTAAAGAATAAGGTCAGCTATATTGGAATACTTCGCCTACTGTAAAAAGACAAACGTCAGTGGCAGCCAAAGAAGGCAACACATTAACACGGGAGCATCACCAGGTAAAGCTTATGCTATCTTGAATTGAATGCTATATGTTAGTTTATGCTATAAATCACTGTTACTGTGGTATATTGTGTTCGTAACAACTTGTCTGCCAGAGTGTTTTGGAGTTACTAGATTGTTTATTTGATTAGTTTTAAGTGAAAGGAGAAAGTACTCGGTGCCTCTGTAGCTTTAGCCGAGCGGCATTAAATCCATAAAAATATGACTTGTCATGCAGTACCATACCACTTTTATTTATAAAGCACTTTAAACAGCACAAGGCCAACCAAAGTGCTGTACAATAGACAGACACAACAGGACAGTCAAAACACAGTCAGAATACAGTTAAAAATATGGAGCATTTATATTTATAGTAAACCCTTATTTGTCTCAACTATTAAAGCAGTGGAAAAGCAGTTATCCTATTAGATGTAATCAGTGTAGCTTAACTGCTTGAGGTGCTAAAAATCACAAAAGTCTGAACGAGCACGTTAAAGAGGGATGAAATTTCAGCATTACACCAAGTTGAACATGATCAGAGAAAAGTTATTGTCTTTTTTTGTTTTAAATACCAAATTCAAAAGAGCATCTTTTAGAGCTGTAATCATAACACCATGATACCACAAACCCGTGATGTTTGCCTGAGTTTATCATAATGTCAGGTTCATATCATACCTACTTCTAACAAACTTATCAGAAAAGGAAAACAGATCTGACTCAACCAAAGATGCCAGTTCTGTAGGTTGGTGAAAGATTATATAATTGTGGTGCAGCATTCAGATAAACTAAATGAAACATTCATCTTATGCAGTTAACAAATCATTTTGATCTTTGATTTAGCTCCTAAATAGTTCATTCAGATCCCATGTATTTGTCAATTCTGTTGACCAACAAAGTGATTAAATGAATCACTGTCCGGTTGTTTTTACACATTATATTTAAGTAGAAAAGTCAGAACCAATCCAACAAGCAGATGTGTTTACGCACCAATCAGCTGCTGACTGCGGTTGTGAATGAGGGTCTGTTCTGGTAAATCAAGAACACCGTCCCAAGGAGACAGACTGTCCCCTTTTCCAGAGACGTTCAGAGCAATCTGTCAAAACACACACACACACACACACAGAGCTAAAAATGGAGCACCTGAATAACAAAACGGACAGGAAAACAATTACTGATAGGAGATCAGATTTTAAATCTATGCAATAACAGAATTACTGTATTTATTCATGTATAATACTAGAAATTTAACCCTAAAAACCATCCATAAAGTGGGGTAGGGTGGGGCAGTATTATACACGGATTACTGATGATTAGATTTTTAAAGCTTTTTAAGCTCAAAAAATGATCATATTATACTTGAGATCATATTATACATGAATAAATACGGTACAAATTTATTTACAACATTGTTTCTTTACCAGTCAAAATGAAAAATTTATCATTCAGCAGTTAAATTAACCCAAGTGAGAAAGAAAAACATAAGAAGCGAAACATTTTTTTCTTAGAAAATTAAAAGTCAGCACTCCAAGAATTCATCACGGTTCAAAACATTCATTTTCGTCTAATTAGGCTTTATTATTTTCAGAGAAAGGTATTAATTTGGCTCCGCCCACTGGGGCCGAGGCATACTGTTCTCCGTCTGTGTGTTAGTGCTGTGTCAGTCAGTAACAGGCAGTGGTGGAGAAAGTACTCAAACACTGTACTTAAGTAAAAGTACAAATAAACAGACAAAAATGTACTATAGTAAAAGTACCACATCAAACATTTTTACTTGAGTAAAAGTAAGTAAGTACTTGCTTTTAAAAATACTCAAGTATTAAAAGTAAAAGTACTTGCTTAATGTATTTCCTAATAGTCTACAATATTATGAAGTGTGTCTATGTATATTTTAAATACATCAATGGTGTGCGATTTTAGTGAACAATGCTGCAGTTTGTGTTTACCCTCTGTGACACTGTTCACACTTTCTGTGCATCATCACAGATTGTGACAACAGCTGCAAAAGATGTAAATTTGCCACCATCATCCTTTATCAAATCTCAATAAGTCATTTTTTGAACCAGTTAACTTGAATAAATAAGGCCATGAGTGGCACATTTCCACCGTTGTGGAATCCATTGTGGGCGTGCTGCTGCTGCTGCTGCTCCAGGTGATGCAGAATCACTCCGCTTTTTTTTTCTGAAGGAGAGTCTAACGGTACTTTCCTGCTTTGCATTGCTTCAATGGACCAATTACAGAAATTCCCCTCTCGCCACTGGTTACTTTCAAACTAAACAAACAAATAAACTAACAAAAAAAGCAATGCGACATGACATGAATGTACTTTGTAATTCAACACATTACAGAAATGTAGTGGAGTAGAAAGTACAGATACTTAATGTAAAACGTAGTGGAGCGAAAGTAAAAAGTACCCATGATGAAATCTACTTAAGTAAAGTACAGATGCATGAAAAATGTACTTAATTACAGCAACAAAGTACTTGTACTTAGTTACATCCCACCACTGGTAACAGGTGGTCTTGTGTGCARGATAACTCCTGAATGAAATGATATATTTACTTATACAGGTCCTTCTCAGAAAATTAGCATATTGTGATAAAGTTCGTTATTTTCTATAATGTACTGATAAACATTAAACTTCCATATATTTTAGATTCATTGCACACCAACTGAAGTAGTTCAAGCCTTTTATTGTTTTAATATTGATGATTTTGGCAAAAAAGTAAAGAAAAATCAAAAATCCCTATCTCAAAAAATTAGCATATTTCATCCGACCAATAAAAGAAAAGTATTTCAAAACAAAAAAAAAGTCAACCTTCAAATAATTATGTTCAGTTCTGCACTCAATACTTGGTGGGGAATCCTTTTGCAGAAACGACTGCTTCAATGCTGCGTGGCATGGAGGCAATCAGCCTGTGGCACTGCTGAGGTGTTATGGAGGCCCAGGATGC